CAGAAAATAGAAACCCAAGGACAACCCATCCAAAACCAGCATCAATTTCACAGGATGACAACTTGTGTGTTTGGAAGGCATTGCTTTTTGTGTATCTGACTGACAAAGTCAAACTAATAAATAACCATAAATCAGCTTACAAATGTTTTTTTCATCTTTTCACTATTCTCAGTGTCCTGTGGCTGGCTTGGTGGCAAACCCAGGAAAACAAAACTGAGCTTTGATACACCCAAAAAGACCCCGGGCTTTTCAGCTCTGCAGGGACTGGCCAGGGCACAAGCACTCTTGCTCTTGAGGCCTTCAGGTTTTCTTCTTAGGTTTACTCAGGTAAAATTTGTAGAAACTGTCTCCTTTCCTTCCTAAGGCTGAGCAGAACTGGAAAGGAAAACTGTTCCCTTTAGTATTTTAAACAGTGCAGGTGCTATGAGTGAATCCTTGTCTCTGTCTCCTCCTTGTTCAGATGCATCAGGAGTTGATCCTTATCCTTTAAGCACACTAGGACATGTCCTCTCTGCTCCCATTTCTTTCTGTGAGGTTTTGGGGTTGGGGTCAGGTTTCCATAATGGCAGTAGACCCTTTAGTGAAGAGAACCAGTCTGCTCTGTCAAAATGTGCTGTCACTTTCTCCTCCCGGAGTGACAATTCCATTTTCTGTCAGGAGATTAGCTGCTCACTCGGCCACCTGAGATTTGCTCTGGGCACTAGCCAGCTCTTTGAACAAAAATCTGTCCTTCTGACTGTAAGCTTATCAAGGCTGTCCAGCCCTCCTCTGTGGGCCTGTGCAAAGGAGGGGAGTGTCCCCAGACAGTGCCAGGGATCTCTGGCCAGGCTGCTTTTTAAACCTTTCCAAAGGTTCTGGTGGAGATGTGGAGAAGGTTTTGCTCTCAAGGACGGCCAGGCAGAGGGCAAAGCACAGCAGGGAGCAGCAGGGATTGAGAACAATGCATGCACATGCATCAGTGTGCAGCCATTGCTCAGGCTCCACAATCATTCTTAAAGAGGAGCATCGCTTTCACAGCAGCAGTTTTCCCTGGTAACATTTCTGAGCATTTCTGTGCCAACTTGTTCCTCAAAACGTGACCCTGCTCCGTCCCCTTGGATGTCGAGCAGGTGTAAGGAAGCATTTGGTACCTGCTGCTTTGGATATCCAGGTGAAAAATACTGTACACATCCAACTTTGTGTCATTCTGGTCCATGAACCTTTTCTTAGGCAGAAATTGGATTTTCCCTGAGATCTGGTTTTATTTTGGGATTAGATCCTCTCCCAAGTAAATATGTAAATGAGAGGACTAAAACTGTATGGATTGGTACCTGTCACAGAATTAGTATTGTCCCAGTGAATTATCATTTATGAACACTGGACAGATCTGAATAAAATAAAGCTTAAGTTGTCTCTGAAATAATAAAGGATATGCAGCCTTAATAACCTACTGTAGTGAGCTCAGCTACTGATTCTTTGTACTGAATATTCATGAAGTCATTAAATGAATAATTGGGATACATTTACACTTTATTACTGTTATGGAATAGCCTGGGCACCTTAATAAGATGCTGATGATTCATTTTGGCATGACAGGGAGAGGGTGCAGAGGGAATTTGTCAGTGTGACTTGCTAATGCAAAAATAATTGTTCCATTTTCCAACTTTAATGTCAAGAAAGACACTGATGTTTAAGAGTGATTCTGCCTCGTAGTCCCTTTCAGTGGGTATTAGAGATTTGTACAGAGCCTCTGCTCTTTCTGTGTCTGCAGTAAATAAAGAACTGGAGAAGAGTAGGCTGAAATACTCCCCCCAAAATACTCAGAAATGACTAAGAGCTCCTGTATGGTGCAGATCAATTCTGATGCACCTGATAAATGAGAGGGATTAGATAAGTAATCTGATTAGAATGTAATAGTCATGGAAGGAGCTTTCCATTACATTGAGACCTTGACTCTCGAAATATAATGAAACTTTTATGGATCAATTTAATTATAAGTGAGCTATACAAATATTTACCATGGCTAGACATTGAAAAGTTATATTCCTCTAAGTCAGATCCATGAATATATCTGCTGTAGATATAAACAAATTTCTAAGGACAGTAAGAAATGAAAATTTAAATGAAAACTGGGTTTAAAACCTGCGTTGACTCAATCCAGTGTGCTTATTTTTGTGATTTTTAGCCACGGGCTAAAACTTCAGCTTTTTATGGCTACCTAAAAACAGAGGCCAGACAAAATCAAGGGAATAAAAAGCAGTTCTGTTTATTGAAGGGCCTTCAGGTACATTTAGGGCAGACAAAGCCTCCCAGGGGCTGCACCCAAAAATGGATGATGGGTCACAGGTTTTCACACTTTTATCAGTTTGGTCCATTTGCACATTGGGGGTTCATCTTCCAATTCCAGCTTCAGGTAATGAACTCATTTCCCCCAAGTTTGCTGCCCCAACTCCCTTTTGTTTCCATCTCTCAGCCTGAGGCACTGAGGTGTCCTTGATTGCCAGGCCTGGAGAGGAATTGCTGTGTCTGAGCAAAATGGGAAAGCAGCAGCTCACAATGTGTGTGGAGTTTGGAGTTACACACTAAAGAACTGCAGGATTACAGATATGTGAAAATATAAAAGCTAAAATCCTAAGGCACCAAGGGCCCTTCCCACGCTGTGTATTTCCAGAGTGCCACTGGTTTTCCCTCTGCCATGAGGCTGCAGGGCTGAGCCTGGGCTGGCCTGGCCACCAGGAGCCCACCAGGGCCGTGTCTCACGGGACGGGGACACTGTGGCTGCTCTGGGGTGGGCAGGAGAGATGCCATGGGGAGAAGGTGGCCTTGGCAGCATTTGTGTGTGTGAGCAGCTTCCCCAGGACCCAGGGGGTGTCAGGAGAAGTGAGTGTGGCAGACACAGCACACAGAGAAAGGCAGATTCGAGCCTTGAGGCAGCTCATACACAAGAATTTCCAGACCATGCACTCTACATCTGGCAGGCAGTTCACGTTGTATGTCTTTGATAAACAGTGCTTATTAAAGAGTTAGAAATTTCTCCTTCCCCAGAGAAGCTGTTTCATACATTTTTCAATCTTTAGGTGGAATGAAAAAGTTTAATGAAAAAGCCCCCATTCAGCCTCCCCCAATGAGCTTCCAGTCAATGCTTTCCTGAAGTATATAAATTCTTAATTTGTTGTAGATAATGCCTACCAGATGATAGTACCAGGAGCACAAGTGGAAATTAAAGAACAGCAGACTTGGAACAGAGGTCATTAAGCACTTTTTCACTATGAGAAACATTAATGAGTTGACTTAAGGCGAGGCTGTCATGGCAAGAGAGGGCAGACAGAAAGGCTTTGGAGCGGCCTTGTGGAGCAGGTCAGCCCTGCAGGGATGGGGTACAAAGCTGCTCCCCTTGAGGGGCAGTAAAATACACCCTGAGGGGCATAAAACACCTCCTGAGGGACAGTGAAACACCCCTGAGGGGCATAAAACACCTCCTGAGGGACAGTGAAACACCCCTGAGGGGCATAAAACACCTCCTGAGGGACAGTGAAACACCACCTGAGGGACAGTAAAACGCCCCCTGAGGGGCACTAAAACACCTCCTGAGGGACAGTGAAACACCCCTGAGGGGCATAAAACACCTCCTGAGGGACAGTGAAACACCCCCTGAGGGACAATAAAACACCCCCTGAGGGACAATAAAACACCCCCTGAGGGACAGTGAAACACCCCTGAGGGACAGTGAAACACCCCCTGAGGGACAGTAAACACCCCCTGAGGGACATTAAAACACCCCCTGAGGGGCACAGTGAAACACCCCTTGAGGGACAGTGAAACACCCCTGAGGGGCATAAAACACCTCCTGAGGGACAGTGAAATACACCCTGAGGGACAGTAAAACGCCCCCTGAGGGGCACTAAAACACCTCCTGAGGGACAGTGAAACACCCCCTGAGGGGCATAAAACACCTCCTGAGGGACAGTGAAACACCCCCTGAGGGACAATAAAACACCCCCTGAGGGACAATAAAACACCCCCTGAAGAGGAGAGCACAGTCCCTGCATCACCTGCAGAGAGGAGAGCACCCTGATCCCATGGGGGACAGGCTTATCTGGGATTTTCCTCTGGGAAGATTTTCAGGGATACAGAATGTAATTTATGCCTTAAATTTGTCTAAATGTTGAAAGCCTAAAAATATAGGTTCTTTTCATCTTCCACATTGTTGATGGTGCTCGTGTGTAATGCAGCAGTGTTGGTGTAGCATATAAATCAAATATTTCTGAAGGAGGTTTGAATCTCTGTGGTTTTGGAGAGAGGACCTCTACAGCTTCTCCAGAATGTGGGTAAATGGCCTAAAATATGATGTGTTTTAGTGAATGGCTGAAAAAGCAGAAAATACTCAATAATAATAGTAATAATAATAATAATAATAATAATAATAATAATAATAATAATAGCCTTCTTGTTATTTAATAAGACCCATCAACAGCACTTATGAGTCTTTGCACAAGGATTTATCACATTATCTCTCAGATGAGGAAAGAGAGGCTTACAAAAAAGCAATTTTCCAGGTGCAAATAATGAATCAGTGGATGAATGGGGGATAGAGTGTGAGTTTTGATTCTGGGATGCCTCTGGCCAGAACCAGAATTGAAAAACAGCAGCTTAGCAATTAGAACACCTAGGTTTTTTTCTTATTTGTTTAGGGAAAGAGCTAATTATTTTCAGATAAATTTTCATTATTCTTTTTCCCTTATGACATTGACATTTCTAAAGGGGACCATGCAAATTATTCATTATGAAATATTTGACCTGAAACAAAACATCACATTTACTTTGTGTGGGTACTTGGTGAGACAGCATATTGAAATGAAAACTGGAATTTCTAATTTGCTTTGAAAAGATATTCCCGCTTTCAGGAAAATCACAGGATTTAGGGTCTGGCTTCCTGGGGAAGAACATCCTGAAAAATGGCTGATTATGTGTGTGTCACTGTGCATGAGTCTGTCCTCAATCATTTTTGAATTGTACATCTCTGAGTTGAGAAAATTTTTACTGATCTACCCACAGTGTAGCAGGGGAGTGGGGAAATATGTTCCTTCTTCTTACACTTGGTAAAACAGTGGCTGGTGCTGATCCTGTGCTGGAATGTTCCAACATCCTCCTTCCACTGCAGCTGAAATTAATCTTAAGGCAATTTCTCCTGTTTCTAAATGAAAAGAAAATCTTCACATTCTGCAAAATGCAGCTATTGATCTGGCTCTAACCAGAGAAATCCTTTTGAAATGAATTTCCAATAAAGCAGTAAAATTTATTGTTTTAATAGATTTACAGTGCAAAACTTACTTGATAATGCAATAAAATGTTATCTCAATCATGGAACAGATTTGAGGGTACCTTTTAAATGAGCTGGTGTTTCCTCTTTGCAGAAACTCCAGTGCCAAGTCAGATGCAAGCTTATACCAAAAATACAGGTCTGGTGCAAGGTTATCCTTGTGACAAGTTTCCAGCAGGGACTGTAGGAGCAATTATTCTATTAGACCTATTAGTAATTTCTACTGTTACTGTTTCATAATGGCAGAAAGCTTCATTACTGGAAAAAACTGGTGGATGGCATGAGATTGAATTTAGTTTTAGAAAGTATGTTAGTAACTTTAAAGTGATTTTTCTGGAAAAATTAGGCTTGTCAACAATACACTTACATGTTAAAGAGAAATGTCTTAGCATTAGAAAACTTATTACCATCATTGGGATTTTTAAAATAAAATATTCATAAAGCCAGATCTGAATTTCAAAAAGAAAAATAGCCTTTAAATTCTGAAGTAATATATTCTCCCATCTCATTAAAAAGAAGAAATCTATCTTGGATCTTATATGCTCTTCCTCATTACAAGACTATTTATATAACACTCTGATAGACATCAGCTCTTCTTGGGCTTACAGCCCTTGAAAATCACATAAAATACTTTCCTCACTGTTTTAACCTATATAGCTAATTCTCCATTATTTATAGCACACAACAGCTCTGCTCTCAAGGTCACACTCCAAAGAAGGTTTTTGTTATATCTCAGAATTCCAATCAGCTGAAAGAAAAAAAAAAACATTACAGAAAATACAGTGAAGACAATCAAGAACATAATATGGGTTTGGTATATGCTTTTCAAGGGTGGAGAGTTACTGAGGAGCTTTTTAGCTAAGGCTTTACTTTAATGGTACATTTAACTAATGCCAAACTGCACTGGACTTCAGTGAATGTCCATGTGATGTGCATGGAACTACCCAAGAAATTCATTCTGATAGGTTTTTTCGTTTGTGGTGTTTTCTGTTTTGGTTTGGGTTTTTTTGCAAAAATACCCTAAAAAAAAGGAGACCTTGGAGCTGTCCCTGCTTTGTATTCTGAACCTTGCTTTGCCGAGGTGCGTGTCCAGGCATTAATCCCAGAACAGGTTTCGTGGCAGTGTGTTATTCCAGGAGGGCAGAGAGCAGCTCACGGTGCGTGAGGCAGGCAGGACTAACCCTGCACTCACTGCTGCTTGCCAGATGGTTACCACAGGCACCAGACTATGGTTACCACAGGCACCAGACTATGGTTACCACAGGCACCAGACTATGGTTACCACAGGCACCAGACTATGGTTACCACAGGCACCAGACTATGGTTACCACAGGCACCAGACTATGGTTACCACAGGCACCAGACTATGGTTACCACAGGCACCAGACTATGGTTACCACAGGGCACCAGATTATGGTTACCACAGGCACCAGACTATGGTTACCACAGGCACCAGACTATGGTTACCACAGACACCAGATTTGAACCCTGCTGGCACTCTGAGGCTGCCATGGCACAAGTTTCTGTGACAGGTGGTGGGAGACAGAGGATTGGAATGTTGGAATGTTGGAATGTTGGAATGTTGGAATGTTGGAAGGGCTGGCCTTTGAGAACAGCTCTACACTTGGCACACACACACTCTATTCTCTTAACAGCAGAATTAAATAGCCAAAGGACTGTGGAACCTGCTGTGGAGTTTTGGAAATTTGTATCAGGATTTAAACTGGCTTGGACTTGAACACAAAGCATAAAATAAGAAAAAGAAACAGGAAGGGCCAAGCTCACACTGGAGTTCAGCCCTCTCCAAAGAACAGGAACTCGTTAGGGCATGGCACGTTCTTCCAAGCTCCTAAAGTGGCTAAAGCTGCATGTCATTGCATATCCAGCAACCATGGCACTGGTAGCAATGTACCAGAAGAAAAGTCACCCTAATTCCAAGTCATCAAAGCTTCCAAGTCATCAAAATGGTATTGTTTCTAAAACAAATAATTAGGTAGCTAACCAACCAAATAAGTAAATTCAATTGGATGTTGTTCTCATCCTTATATAAATATCCCATCCCTCTCTTTCTGTTGGAGATTTTATGCTGTCTTAAGAATGTGTTGTGGACTGCTGGCAAAAATGCTAAATATTCAAAATTCCCTGATTGTATATTTATGGCCTAGAACACTGTATGATTTATTTCACCTATTATCCACTGAAAGGGTTCATCGTTTATTTGTCCCTTTACTTTCTAGTCTGAGAAGGACATGGGAACAGCACCATGTAAAGAGGGATGCCCTTTCCTCCTCTTAGAGGATTCTCTCTTCTGAGCTGTCTGCAGAGCTGGGCCAGAATCTTCCCTGGGGAAATGCAGGCCTGCAGCATTTATCATGAATTGAATCATGGGTGCCCAGTGGGAATTAGATGAGTCTTTGGCCACTGCATCCAAGTGCTTCCCATCTATCTTTCCTGATAACGTTATTATTCTAATACCAGTGGTATATTGCAGTTCAACACCTTATCTTCAGGAGTGCCACAAGCTTCACAGCTTTGTTATGCACTGCTGCTGCCCATAATTCACCAGTGGCCTGCTAAACACCTGCTAATGGGATTGCTTTGATTTAAATTTGGAATAGGTCCTGTACTTCTGCTACTCATCAGTAAGAACCTATGCTTGTGGGAAAGAAACCAAATGCTTCTTATGTGAGAAAAACAAAACATACAGTGCTAGGGCAATTTTATAAGGACATCAAGCTCTATGGCTATTCAACAATTTTTCCTCTACCTCAAAATGTGTTTTCAGAGCATTACAGGTGTATCTCAAATGTATGAGAACTCTGGTGAGTTCCTCCTACAGTCTGTAGTTCCCATCATCTGGTTAAGAGTCTCCCAGTTTTGTATCTCACTATGGAATGTCTGGTTCTCATTAACTGAGATTCTCTGCATTTTGATAGATCTAAAAGCATCACTTTTTTCCCCCATGGGCCAAATCCTGTCATTATTGAGCATCCTTTAGGTTTACAACAGCCAAGTCTTATGGGTTTCCCTTGAAAACAAACATGACAGCATCCATCAGCTTCATTCTTGCTGTGTGTGCAAGTCCTGCTGACAAGGTGGCTCCTGATTTCACTTTGCTCTTTCACTCATAACCTTCTTTTTCCCACATGCCATGGCCAGAGGTCCTGAGTTGCAGAGCCAGCTTTGCATTAAATGCACAGAAATTGTACAAATGGTATCAGCCAAACCTCTATTTGTTATCTTCAGCCTCACACAGAAACTGGGGAACTGGCAGCCTCAAAAACCTTGTTTCTCTTTCATCTCTCTTTCCACCTTTTGTTCTGAAACATCTTACAGGGATTCAGCAGGGTCTCTTTTGTGTAGCCCCATATTTTCTGATAAATTTCTGAGAAATTTAACACTTCCTGACAGTCACAAGGTTTCTGCAGACTCATGATGTGCAATTCCAGACCACAAGAGCATTTAGACTGAAGCTGCTCAGTTTTCACCTAGGGAAGAGACCCCTGTTTTAAGTACATATTATATTATTGGCTTTTCACAAATATTAAAATGAATGCTATATGTATAATGTTGGGAAACTTTACTGTATTAATATAGTTTCTTTTATTTCTCCTATCAACAAAACTTAGAAATAGTGGTGTGATATATATATATATATATTTCTTAGGCTGTAGCATGGTATTAAAATAAAGACTGCTTTTGTTCATGTAACTCAGAGAAGGAAAAGATAATCAGAAAACCACCTGCATTCTTGGATTATCCAGATGAAGATGGCAGTGACCAGAGCTCCAGGGGAGGAATTTATTAAACCTCTGTTATCTGGGAGTGTGAGACTGAACAGAGCCAAAAGAAGATTGATCTGCTGGGGCAGGGCGGGAGTTGAAACTGAAGAAAGGGACATCTAAACTTAAGAGGAATGTTTGAATCATGCATAGGGATCTAGGAATATGCAACAGGCTGGTGCTGTTAGAGCCTTTGTTAGTAAGGTGTGCTCTTGGCTGAATGCTGAGGCACGCAGCCTTATTTGTTCATTTGGTCTCCTAATTGTCTTTTCATTAAACTTTTTAAATTACACCAAAGAGGTGAACCTCGTTTTTCACACCTCCTAAGAAGGGTGGCAATAGAAAGAGCTGGATATGGGCAGAGTGCACATTTTGGTCCAGGGGAGAAGGGTAGGTTATCAGGACATGATGTGCCATTCTTTGTACCACCTGCACATTGTAGCTACCAAAGCACCACCAGGGTGTGGGACAGTCTGTGGAGCTGTTGTTTATGATGACAGCTGTTTATGACAAAAGAATCACTATGCTGGGATTGTTCACAGTGTTTTTATGCAATGAATCCCTCTAAAAACTAACGTAACTCAGGGCACTCATTGGTGTCATGGACATCTGTGCTACAGCTGGGGTTAGTGAAGAGCCCCAGACTCAGTTCCTCACTGAACACTGCTGTTCCCATCACCAGCACAGCTCCCACTTTGTGAGAGTCTGAAGGACTTCTCAGCCTCAGTGTGCTGCAAAGATCTCTTGGATTTGCTAATTAATCTTTATTCTAGTCCACCAATATGAATACTTTGCACTATGTGGCACCTCCCACATGGAAATTCCAAGGCAACTCAGAAATAGTGGCTAACCCAGATAAGAGGGTCACCACTCAGATGGGAAACCTGAGGCTTTTGTCACTCAGTTGTCTTCCCAAAGTGCCTGGGAAATGAATGGCAGCATTGAAGCAGCCTTAGAGCAGATTTAGAGCTCCAGCTGTGAACTGCCTGCTAACAGCAGTTAAAGCACCAGCTGGGCAGGTGCTCTCTGCAGTACCATTGTTACCTTCCCTTACCAGAGCTGATACCTCAGGATTTTAGCTTTTATATTTTTCATGTATCTGTAATCCTGCAGTTCTTTAGTGTGTAACTCCAAACTCCACACACAGTGTGAGCTGCTGCTTTCCCATTTTGCTCAGACACAGCAATTCCTCTCCAGGCCTGGCAATCAAGGACACCTCAGTGCCTCAGGCCTGAGAGATGGAAACAAAAGGGAGTTGGGGCAGCAAACTTGGGGGAAATGAGTTCATTCCCTGAAGCTGGAATTGGAAGATGAACCCCCAATGTGCAAATGGACCAAACTGATAAAAGTGTGAAAACCTGTGACCCATCATCCATTTTTGGGTGCAGCCCCTGGGGGGCTTTGTCTGCCCTAAATGTACCTGAAGGCCCTTCAATAAACAGAACTGCTTTTTATTCCCTTGATTTTGTCTGGCCTCTGTTTTTAGGTAGCCCCATAAAGGCATCAGAGGTACCAAAGTTACTGCATTCTGGCAAGTCAGAAACTCAGATTTAGTATGTGTCCAGCTGTGATTTTCACTGGCAGCTTCTGCAAGCGAGGGAGCAGTGAGAGCAACCCATCACCACATGGGCCAGTGTCTCTGGGGGTGCACTGGCCACGAGGGCACCAGCCTTCTCCTCTTTGCAAGCAGCGTTTTCCTTGACTGGGCACTCACTGTCCACCTTGAGCTGACAGTGGTTGAAACCCAATGCAACTTGAAGGGAAAATAAATGGAAATATGCCACCCTTAGCTAAAATAACATTTTAAAAAGGAAGGTAGAGTTTTGGTGATTCGTAACAACAATTGTGACAGAGAAGAGAGGTCACCCTGAAAATTTAAGGAGTCTTAAGCAGGATTTAATTTGTACAAAAGGATCTGCAATGCACCTTGAGGCAACAGAGCTATAAATCATCCTGTTTCAGGGCTCATTTATCACCACAGTTCACCCCAGGATTTGGAAAAGGAGGTAGAAGCCTTCCAGCTGTTTCAAGCAGCAAAGTGTCATTGATAAACGCAAACCTGCAAAGTAAACAATAAAATATCCATTATGAGTAAGACAGTTGCAAGGAGGCTGCATGGAACTGGGTTTCCTGTGCCTTGTCTAGATAGTGTCTTCTTCCTCACTGCTGACACCGACTCCTGTGCATTTGGAGCAGTCCTTGCAGCTGAAAACAGGTGATCCAGACTTCACACCCACTTTTTTCTGGGTAGGAGGTGGGCAGGGAGGGAGCAAGGCTGGAGAGAGGAGCAGTCCCTGTCCTGCTGTCCTTGCCAGGCTCCTGCAGCACACCCAGAGCCAGCATTACCACCTGCACTCATTTCCCTCTGTAGAGAAATCTCTGGAAGCCAGTGTTTGCTCAGGGAGGGAGTGACAATGAAGCTAGTGAAAAGAGCTACCCCCAGATAAAGGCACTGGTGAGAGAAGTACCTTCTGGCCAGGTGGGGAGGCAGTGCTGGCTCTGGGTTCTGCTGCCCTTGCAGGTGCCAGCTGGGGCAGATCAGTGTGGGCTGCTGCTGCTGGCTGGGATTCACTGTTCCAAATGGATCTGGGGGTTTAGGTAAGTCCCTGCCCCTTGCCCAGGCCTCTGGCAGCAGGCAGTAGCTTTACTGAGGTGGCCAGAACCCCAAAGCCCACTCTTGTTCACAAGTTCTTTAATAATGATTTGGTGGATTATAGAATGAATTATTTATTTAACAGACACAAAGCTAACAGACGTAAGACTTAAACTAATACTGCACAGACATAAGACTTAAAACAAACTAATACTACACAGGAATAAAGACAAAAACAGACTGCTGGTAGTTATATACAGCATGGGGTTAAAGGTACCATTAATTTTACGGCTAGG